ACACACACACACACACACACACACACACACACACACACACACACACACACACACACACACACACACACACGTCTCTTAAATCTGAGCAGGACAATAGTCCAATCTACAAGAGTGATGTCAGGAACTTTGTACACTACAACCTTTAAATAGTTTTCCTGTTTTCACTGAAGCTGCCGGAACCAATAACAGCGAGCGATGGGTTTGTTTTCGTAAGCAGGCACCGTATATTTACTGGGTGATGCCATAGGAGAGGCTCAACAATAACAGATTGCTTCCTTCTTCCAGAGTGTGTGACCGTCGCTCTGACAGAGTGAAACCACATGAGGACACAGAAAGGAAAACACGTCCAGGACAGGTCATTTAGTGACGGTGATTCCAGCGTGATGTCATGTGTGCATATGTGGCGAAGAGTGGGAATTATGTCTGAGGTCACACACACACACACACACACAGTCTGTCAGGTACAGGTGTGAACATTTATACCTAGTGTTTCCTCTTCTCCCCTTCCTGCTACATAAAAGACCATAAACTAATTAAACAATCTAGAACGTCCCTCAGTAGAGTTCATACCTCCACCAGGACTCAAAACTCACCTTACATTCATTCAGTCCCCTCAATGTGTCTGATTAAAGAGAATCAATCTGGGTCTGCACAAAAAAAATCTATATTTGCCGCCATCTCTGAGCAAGTGCCACTGATGATCTGTGATGACGAGCAGGAGGCCCTCCCTCTTAATCTGCTCACATCTCAGAGGTCATTATTCCAGGAGGTCGAACGTACTCACAGCTCTGTCGCTGCTGTTTACTCTGCAGGGTGCAAGGATAACACTGAGATAAGAGGCTGCTGGTTCCACAAGTCTCTGGAGTTATTGCCTGGGTGGAGTGGACAGAGTTGGGTGGTGGCCTTTAAACATGTACACACTCTCTCACACACACACACACACACACACACACACACTCACACACACACTAAACTTATCGAACAGCAGACTCAATGAAGCCCCCAGTTAGAGCAGCTGAACCCAGAGACATGTTTTTATCTGCTCTATTATTCCAGAAAGACCTTGTATGTTTTTACAGCCCCCCCCCCCCACAGACTGGGTCACACCGGCTTCGTTCCCCAAATCAATAACTGGTGTTTTTCAGCCTAACCTGTGATGTAATTGTACGTTATCTTAGTTTGGGCTAACGATTCCTTTTTGTCGTTTTCATTATTGCTTCCTCAGTTACATTTTCCTTCCGTGTTTTCTTCCAGCCTCAATGATCCGTCCTTAAATCTTTACTGTCTTCTTCACCATCAATACTTTCCCTTTTCTCTGGTATATTTCAACTCCTATTACTTATTTTACTGGAGGATATGTACTTGTAATAAAACTATTTCGTATTCTACTCTGACGTTTTACCAATAACTTGTACTCTAGCATCTGCCATCAATGAGAAGCTGCTCCAGTCTCTCTTTCTACAGAGACTAACACAAGAGTTTCTGAGTTTCTGCCTTCAGTCCGCAGGGGAGATAATAATTTACAAAAAGGAAGAAGGGAAAGTATTGTTTTACGCTTTCACAATCTCCACTGGAAAGAGCGCAGCCCTGATTTCTCTTTGAGAAAATAAACATGGTGGAATCTGGGATCAGACACAAGTACAACTTCCCCTCGACCCGTGACCCCTCGGGAAGCGGGAAGCGTTCCTGTTTTTCAGCTCTCAAGACGAGTGTCTGAGCCTCTGACACGTTCACTGAAGAACCTCACGCAGGTAACAGTTCTGTTCACGAACATTTGTCCGACGGCGAATCTCAGCAGACGCCTGTGAGGTCTGTGGTTCGACCGCGTGACCTCGCAGTCTGTTGGCTGACGGGGATCCGTGACTGGTTCATCACATCACACTGAGGTGCTCAGATAAAACCAATATTTAACTTGAGGATTTTTCTTAACGTTTGTTTTGGAAACTTTTTTTAGACGTTAGCCTTTGAATGGTGCGTTTGTTCTGCTATGCGCTCTGGAGAAATCTAGTGCTACATGTGACGTCTTTAGTCATTTTGTTGACGCAGCTTTTGTTTTCGGTACAATAGCCTTCATCGCTCATCTTTTATTTGGAAGGGTTCATCTACAAAGAAAGTGCTTGACTTCCTGTGAGGCCGGGGATTTTTCCTGGGAAAGTCCAGAACGACTCAGAGTGATAAGGAATTCTTTCCTTTTTTTATCCCAGAAAAGAGATTAGTTTGCTTTTTATCACAACAACTTATTTAAAAGGTGGATTCCGTATTATTTTAGACCTTTTTAAGCCTGGGAATCACATGTTTTTTCATTAAAGCTCTGTTAGTGTAAACTGTAGATAACACAGAAGAGGAGACAATATTATTAGACTTAGTTTGGACTTCTTCCTGAAATCCTCATGTTTTACCTTCAGACCAAACTTGATCCTTTCAGACTGGTGATTTAGTCATGGTTTTATTGTTTATAAGAAATAAACATGTTGGAGTCATTGTATTCAACCAGATTACAATCTTTTCCTAAACTTAAACATATGAGTCTATACAAACCCAAAAAAATAAAAAAATATATAGGATACTGTTGTCGACTGCATGATTGAGGAGGAAAACAACCTTACTGTGTGTGGATAAGTAGAGTTTTTCAAAACATTTTTAACTCATCCTTTAACTCAGCTTTAAGGGCTGGTATCGTGTCTGTCTCACAGCTCATAGTGGAGCTTTTGTCTTCAGTTATTTCAGTGAAACATTTGTCATGTGATCATAAGCTGTGTCTCAATTCAGCGGCAGCATCCTTCAGAGGACCCAGTCTACGCAGGCGTCGTCGGCTGCATCCTCCAATGGCTGTGTAGACACCTTGACCCCCCCTTACAGCCAAAGGACACCTTTTGTAGGCCCCATTCAGAGGAGACTTGGAATTGGTTCAGTCTAGTCGCCCTGCTGGGATGTAATTGGTCTACAAAAGTGGCTTCTGAAGGACGTGGCCCCCGAATTGAGTTGTTCATCTTTATAAACAGTGTATGATACCGAAGTCTGCGAAGTGAGAGGGAAACACTGACAATGACCTTTAAACAAATACACAGAATACAGTAATTTGTTAAAATGTAACTTTCTCTGTCAAACAACTGCCACATCACACACACACACACACACAC